CCAATCTCCCGAGAGGTCATAAGCCGATCAGAGTCAAATGGGTGTATAAGAAGAAATGCAATGCTGAAGGTATGGTCGAGCGATACAAAACTCGGCTTGTTGCAAAAGGTTACAAGCAAAAGGCTCGGAATGAGAGACCGAAGAGAATTAAGATTAGGGGAGGAATTTGTTGGGATTAATTAATTAATCTTAATTAGTTTACTTCCTAGGGAACATAAATTATCTTTCCCTACTTTTATTGGAAAGATGAAAGGTCTTCTTGGAAAGGTAAATTGTATTTCCTAGGGATTATTTTACTCCTCTTGTAATGCCTATATAAGGCCACCAATTGTAATGTTTTATCAAGTGTGGAATATAATACATTCTCCTACATTCCTTTGAGTTATAAGTTAGCCAAACACTTAGAATATTTTCGGATATTTGGGGCCTTCAGAAAAAAACGGAAAATAGAGTACGTACCTCATTATTTGAGAAGGGATGGTTACCTTAGAGACAACTAGATGGAGAGATTTTGAAACCTTCAAAAATGGAGATGAGAGCTCTTGAAATGTAAAGAGGAGAAAAAATGGGAATGGGAGTGAGAGAATAGCAAGGGACGGATGGGAGAAAGAAAGGGAGGATGTGGGATGAGAGATGTTTGAAGGGGTAAAAAAATGGTAAAAATAAGAAGGCTTTTATATGGGGTACAAATTGAGGTAGGATTGGGGTACCTATAGCATTTTTGATTACTTATTCTTCCGGTGTTCCGGTGTGGGAAATCTATAAAGGGAAGACTACGTACTAGGCACAAATTGCTTTATTAGCTCAGTGGGAAACCTAGAGTCCGTTTGGTTTTTCGACTTATCAGACTTATCAGTCAGCTTTATCACCAAACATGTAATTTTTTAATCCGCGCGCTGTATTTTGTAATAAGCAGAAAAAGTAAGGTTAGATTTACTTTTCTGGTTGTATTGACTGAAATTACTGTAGAAGATCATTTTAGTTATTTTTTCATATAAGTTTTTATTTAATTTACTAATAACAAATATTTTAAATATAATTTTTTCATGAACTAGCAGAATCAGCCAATACAGCCACTTCAGTCAGAATTTCATAAATTTCAGCAGAATCAACCAATTTAGCCAATTTTGATGTTAACAAACGGGCTCTGAATTTTACATACATTAGCCTACAAGAATAATGCTACAAAATATCACTAGTACTACATAATTAGTGTTCCATATTAAAATGATTATATCTCTTATTATTATTACCTTTTTATTACGGAGTATTATAGTATAATAGTAGTATTACTATTAATTTTATCACCCAATTTCTTTTCAGAATCTAGTTTTATAGAATGGCTTGTGGGTAGACCTGCACAATTCCGGGCCGGCCCACTCGGCCCGCCCATATAAATGGGCGGGTTTGGACACATGCTTTAGCCACCGGCCCCGGCCCGGCCCGGCCCGTTTAAAATATGGGCGGGCTTGGGTTGTAATATAGGCCCGGTCGGGCCTAAAAGCCCGGCCCGTAAACATATTATATATATTATATTATATATATTATTCTATATATAATTATACAGTATATGACTATACGTATAAAACTTAAAATACATGGAAGTATAATTTCATTACCATCCCTCTGAGCATGTTTTCAAGCAATTATCTAGTGACTTGAATTGTTCTACTTTTAATAAACCTTGTCATGTTTGCCATTTATCTAAGCATACACGTTTACCATTTCCTGTTCATCACACACTACTCATTGCTTTGAATTAATTCATGTTGATATTTGGGGCAAATATAAAAACCCTAGTCGTAGTGGGCATTTCTATTATCTTACGATTGTTGATGATTTTTCTCGTGTTACATGGACTTATTTAATGAAATTTAAATCTGATGCTTTTCAAATTCTTGTTCATTTTTTATTATATGTTAAAAATCATTTTCATACTTGTGTTAAAACTTTTCGTTCTGATAACGGCCCGGAATTTACTCAACCTGCTTTTACTAATTTTCTTTTGTCCCAAGGAATTCTTAGTCAAACTAGTTGCCCCTATACCCCTCAACAAAATGGGGCTGTCGAACGTAAGCATCACCATCTCCTTAATGTAGCCCGTGCTTTACGCTTTCACGCTGCCCTTCCTATTGTTTTTTGGGGTGATTGCATCTTAGCGGCCACTCACCTCATTAATCGCACCCCTACCCCGCTTCTTAACAATAAAACCCCTTTTGAGGTCCTCTTTCACAAACGCCCTAATTTTTCCCATTTACGCACTATTGGTTGTTTATGTTATGCCTCCACTATTCCACGTCGTCCTGATAAATTCCATCCTCGTGCTCGACGTTGCATTTTTATTGGCTACCCTAATGGCCAAAAGGCCTATCGCCTCTATGATCTTGAAACTCAACAAGTGTTTGTGAGTCGGGATGTTGTTTTTTATGAAAATGTGTTTCCTTTTCAAACGGATATAGGACATATTACAGATACATCTACTGTTCTTCCTCTCCCGATACCCGACTCTGTTTCATCTTGTTCTTTACCCAATCCTAGGTCACATGAATCCGTACCCCACACTTCCCAACCTTCTTCTACCACCCCTCCTCCACTGTCCTCTAACCAACTCTTCACCGAGACTAATTCGTCACCTACCCCCAGTCCGTCTCTTCCGCCCGCTAACCTTTCAACACCGCTAGACAAGCCGACACGACCTCAGCGAACCACCAAGCGTCCAGCCTATCTCAACGATTATGCTTGTAATTTAGTAACCACCTCTTCTCTGTACCCCATTAATGACTACATTCACCCTCATGCCTATTCTCCCACTCACCTTCTTTTTATTAACAACATAACCAAGCATGTCAAACCACCTTCTTTTTCTACTGCTAAATTTGACCCTCTCTGGCGCCAAGCCATGGACGAGGAAATTCATGCCCTCAAAGCTAACCACACTTGGGATTTAGTTTCTCTTCCCGTCGATAAAAAACCTATTGGTTTTCGTTGGGTTTACAAAATTAAATATAACCCCGATGGCACAATCCAACGTTACAAGGCACGTCTTGTTGCTAAGGGTTATTCCCAACTTGAAGGCTATGACTACACCGAGGTTTTTGCCCCCATCACCAAACTCACGACTGTTCGTACCGTTCTTAGTCTCGCTGCTGCCAAACATTGGCCCACCCACCAGTTAGATGTCTCTAACGCTTTTCTCCATGGTACCCTTCATGAAGATGTGTACATGCAACTTCCCCCAGGCTACTCAAGTAAGGGGGAGACACGTGTATGTCACCTTCGGAAATCTCTCTATGGCCTTAAACAAGCCTCACGATCTTGGTTTAATACTTTTTCTACAGTTTTGCTCAATGCCGGCTTTTCTCAGTCTCGAGAACACTACTCTATGTTTACTTACGTTCGCGGTTCTTTAATAACTATTTTGCTTGTTTATGTTGATGATATTGTTATCACAGGCAATGACCCGCTCATTATTTCTTTAGTAAAATGTTAACTATCTCAACATTTTCAGCTGAAAGATTTAGGCCCTCTAAAGTATTTTTTGGGCATCGAGGTCGCCCGCTCACACAAAGGCATCTTCCTCAACCAACGCAAATACGCATTAGAAATCCTTGCCGACACCGGCCTCCTTGCCTGCAAACCGGTTGCAACCCCCATTGACAAAGATTTTCACCTGTTATCCAATGGAGGCACCCCCTCAAAGATCCCACCGCCTATTGACGCCTCGTTGGGCGTCTCCTCTATCTCACGGTAACTCGCCCTGACATTACCTACACTATCAATTTACTAACTCAGTTTATGTCTTCTCCTCAGGATACTCACTGGAATGCTGCTCTTCGTGTTGTTCGCTATCTCAAGACTGCTCCAGACCGTGGCATACTCCTCTCCTCCAATAGCTCTCTCAAGCTCCATGCCTATTATGACGCTGATTGGGCGTCTTGTCCTATGACCCTCCGCTCGACCACTGGTTATTGTACCTTCCTTGGAACTAGTCTCATCTCTTGGCGTACAAAGAAACAACCAACTATTTCTCGTTCCTCAGCTGAAGCTGAATATCGTGCCATGGCTGCCACTGCTAGCGAAATTACTTGGTTGTAACTTCTCCTTCACGAATTAGGACTGTCACCTCACCCTGCTCACCTTCATTGTGACAATCGGGCTGCCCTCCACATCGCCAATAACCCCGTCTTCCACGAACGCACCAAACACGTCGAAATCGACTGTCATTTTGTGCGAGAACGTATCCAGCGTGGCACACTCCGTACTTCATTCGTCCCCTCCACTCATCAACTTGCAGATATATTTACAAAAGGTTTGTCTACTCCTGCATTTACATCCATCACTTCCAAGCTCACTTTTCACCCCTGAGCTTGAGGGGGAGTATTAGTTTATTTGGAATTATTTAGTTACCATGTTAATAACTTTTCTATTATTGTATAGATTACCTTAATTACATACTACCGTTGTACTCTTCTACTATAAATATGGCCTTGCATTCAACTTAATTAATCAATAAAATATTATGCAATTCCTTTCTAAGATATGAGATATTATTTTTTTGTCATTAATTTAATTTTTCTACCATCATTAATAAGAATATAAATTTAGCATTACATAATATTACACAAGTCCACCAATGCTCTTTCAGTTTCCAACAAAAATAGATTTCTAATGTTCTAAGTATCACAAAAAGACAGTACCTATATTATGTACCCACAAGTAGACCTGCACAAACACGGGCTCGGGCCGGGCTTATTCTAAAAAATCAGTCCACTTGTAGTGAGCGGGCTCGGCCCGGCCCGGTAAAACGGGCCTCCTCATATGTCCAAGCCCACCCATGAGAGCGGGCCGGGCTGCCCACCGGGCTTTTGGGCCCGGAAAATATCCTTTTGTCAACTTTGTTAAAACAATAAAAACATTTATAAAATAACATCACGACATTTTAAATGCAATTAAATAATTAATGTACTCACAACATATTTTGAACACAAGAATACGTTTAAATGCAAAACACAAAACGATTCTGGAAAACAAAAAGCATCCAAATTCCAAATAAGCATCCATATTCCATAATTAAAAGCACAATCACAGATTCACAATGTGCAGCGGAAATAGTCAAGAGTATCTCCAAAAAGACTTAACAAATGTATATCATTACAGTTCAAATTTAAATAGTAGAACACAAAAAGTAATTGGTATCCCAAGATTCCAAGAACTTCTCGACACTCCTTCATTTCATCGGAAAGTAATTGATCTCCCAGACTGCTCTGCCATGTGCTAATAAATATCAAATAATGAAAACCAAATATTATTTATAAACAAAGTAAAAACAGTGAGATAATGAAAACTACTATATTGTGATTTCTGAATCTTACCGTCTGTGAAAGAGAAGCATTGTCTTACACTAGAGTAGCATTTCATCTTCTTCATCCTCGCTATCATTCGAACGTCCATCATCGATCTTGAACATACTTGTGGAACCTTACAAGTTAAAAATAATGGAAAATAATGACACTTGTGAATAATGACATGGTAATGAAATTATACTTCCATGTATTTTAAGTTTTATACGTATAGTCATATACTGTATAATTATATATAGAATAATATATATAATATAATATATATAATATGTTTACGGGCCGGGCTTTTAGGCCCGACCGGGCCTATATTACAACCCAAGCCCGCCCATATTTTAAACGGGCCGGGCCGGGCCGGGGCCGGTGGCTAAAGCATGTGTCCAAACCCGCCCATTTATATGGGCGGGCCGAGTGGGCCGGCCCGGAATTGTGCAGGTCTACCCACAAGCCATTCTATAAAACTAGATTCTGAAAAGAAATTGGGTGATAAAATTAATAGTAATACTACTATTATACTATAATACTCCGTAATAAAAAGGTAATAATAATAAGAGATATAATCATTTTAATATGGAACACTAATTATGTAGTACTAGTGATATTTTGTAGCATTATTCTTGTAGGCTAATGTATGTAAAATTCAGAGCCCGTTTGTTAACATCAAAATTGGCTAAATTGGTTGATTCTGCTGAAATTTATGAAATTCTGACTGAAGTGGCTGTATTGGCTGATTCTGCTAGTTCATGAAAAAATTATATTTAAAATATTTGTTATTAGTAAATTAAATAAAAACTTATATGAAAAAATAACTAAAATGATCTTCTACAGTAATTTCAGTCAATACAACCAGAAAAGTAAATCTAACCTTACTTTTTCTGCTTATTACAAAATACAGCGCGCGGATTAAAAAATTACATGTTTGGTGATAAAGCTGACTGATAAGTCTGATAAGTCGAAAAACCAAACGGACTCTAGGTTTCCCACTGAGCTAATAAAGCAATTTGTGCCTAGTACGTAGTCTTCCCTTTATAGATTTCCCACACCGGAACACCGGAAGAATAAGTAATCAAAAATGCTATAGGTACCCCAATCCTACCTCAATTTGTACCCCATATAAAAGCCTTCTTATTTTTACCATTTTTTTACCCCTTCAAACATCTCTCATCCCACATCCTCCCTTTCTTTCTCCCATCCGTCCCTTGCTATTCTCTCACTCCCATTCCCATTTTTTCTCCTCTTTACATTTCAAGAGCTCTCATCTCCATTTTTGAAGGTTTCAAAATCTCTCCATCTAGTTGTCTCTAAGGTAACCATCCCTTCTCAAATAATGAGGTACGTACTCTATTTTCCGTTTTTTTCTGAAGGCCCCAAATATCCGAAAATATTCTAAGTGTTTGGCTAACTTATAACTCAAAGGAATGTAGGAGAATGTATTATATTCCACACTTGATAAAACATTACAATTGGTGGCCTTATATAGGCATTACAAGAGGAGTAAAATAATCCCTAGGAAATACAATTTACCTTTCCAAGAAGACCTTTCATCTTTCCAATAAAAGTAGGGAAAGATAATTTATGTTCCCTAGGAAGTAAACTAATTAAGATTAATTAATTAATCCCAACAAATTCCTCCCCTAATCTTAATTCTCTTCGGTCTCTCATTCCGAGCCTTTTGCTTGTAACCTTTTGCAACAAGCCGAGTTTTGTATCGCTCGACCATACCTTCAGCATTGCATTTCTTCTTATACACCCATTTGACTCTGATCGGCTTATGACCTCTCGGGAGATTGGTAAGTTCCCAGGTCTGATTCTTCTCAATCGCTTTTATTTCTTCGTTCATGGCATCTCTCCATTTTTCATCGTGCTTGGCTTCTTCAAAAGTAATATCCTCCCCATCGGCTAGAAGACATACCATGTGAACCTCTGGAGCTGCTTCATATATGTCCTGTATGTTTCTGTACCTTTGTCGGCTCGTCCCTTCTTCTTCTTCCTCGTCCCCCGAGGTCGTCATAGATCCCGCCCCGATTGGTTCTGGTGTCATCCCGAGCGGGATTGGAATTGGGGTCCCGCCCGGGGTCTCTTCGTCATTTGAGGTCCCGTCCGGGACGTCCTCGTTATTTGAGGTCCCGTCCGGGACGTACTCCTTCTCTGTGTTCCAATCCCAACTTCCTTTTTCATTTATCTCTACATCTCTGCTCACTGTGATCCTTTTCTCCTCGGGATCATATAGTCTGTATCCCTTTGTCTTCTCATCATAGCCAATGAAGACAAGCTTCTTGCTTTTGTCTTCCAATTTTGTCCGTCTCTGATCGGGCACATGTGCGTAGGAGATACTCCCAAACACCCTCAAGTGTGACACGGTCGGCTTTTGACCACTCCATGCTTCTTGAGGTGTTAGATTTTCAAGATTTGAGTGCGGACACCTGTTCTGTACATACACCGCACATCGTACCGCCTCGGCCCAAAATTGCTTTGGCATATTTTTGCTCTTGAGCATGGATCTTACCATGTCCATAATGCTCCGGTTTTTTCGCTCAGCCACCCCGTTCTGTTGAGGCGAGTACGGGGCGGTAAGGAATCTTCTAATTCCTTCCTCTTCACAAAACTTTGTAAAAGAGTCTGAAATGTATTCTCCCCCCCCCCCCCCCCCCCCGGTCTGACCTCAACGCTTTCACCTTCAGCCCGATTGTCTTCTCCACCTCGGCTTTGAAATTTTTGAATGTTTTAAAGGCCTCCGATTTTTCTTTTAGAAAATATACCCAAGTCTTCCTGGTGTAGTCATCAATAAAGGTGATAAAGTACCTTCGCCCACTGAAAGATGATGGCGTGATCGGCCCACAAATGTCCGTATGGACTGTCTCCAATGCTCCCTTGGCTCGGTACTTGGCAGTCTTCTGAAAGCTCGCCCGGGTGTGTTTCCCAAGTACGCAGCTTTCACAGAATTGCTTTGGAAAATCCATCTCGGGTAGTCCATGCACCAAGCCCTTTTTGCTCAGCTCGGCTAATCCTCCAAAGTTCAAATGTCCGAAACGTAGGTGCCATAATATTGACTTGTCCGTCAGGTCGACTTTCAAGCACTTATGGTTTACGCTTCTCAAGTCCAACTTGTACATTCTGTTCTTGGCCATCTCTACCCGGGCGACGGCCCGGCCTCGTCTATCCTTCAAGTGTAGGTATCGACCACTTAGGTCGGCTGAATACCCTTTCTCCATAAGTTGTCCCATGCTTATGATATTTGTCTTCATGCTCGGGACATAGAGTACGTTTTCAATCGTCCCCTCTTGTCCATTCTTTTGAAGAAATTTAACCTTTCCTCGGCCTTTGATAACTACTTTTGATGTATCTCCAAAAGATACATTTCCTCCCTCAGCCTCCTTCAACTCAGTGAATAAATGTTTATAACCACTCATGTGGTTGCTCGCCCCGGTATCCAAGTACCACGTAGCGTCGTCTGTTAAGCTTCCTTCTTTGTGTGCTAGTAAGAGCACTCCTTCCTCATCTCCATCATCATCCTCATGCTCAGCAACATTTAGATTCTCCTCCGGTTTTGGTTTCGACCAACAGTCTCTTGCGAAATGTCCCCGTTTCCCGCAATTGTAGCATTCCCCATCGGGTCTGCCTCCCCGACCGCCTCGGGCAGCTCCTCTGCCTCGGCCTCTCCAGGTCGGGCGATGTTGGTCCTCCCGGTTCTGGTGGGTATTCTCCTCTCGGTTGTAGTCTCCTCTTCCTTGGCCCCGACCACGGAAGTGACCTCGGCCTCGGCCTCTCGGTTGATGGGCATACATTGCCTTCTCCTCTACCACCATAGTTTGTAATGCCTCTTCAAGCGATTCTAGCCGCTTCATCTTTCTTTGTTCATGTGCCTCCAACGACCCCGACAGGTCGTCAATGGTAAGCGTCTCAATATTTCTAGCTTCTTCGATTGCGCATACCACGTTCTCGAATTTGTCCGTAAGTGTTCGTAGAATTTTTTCTACTATCCGACTCTCACTTACGGTTTCACCATTTCTCTTCATATGGTTTGCTATGGTCATCACCCGATTAATGTACTCGGTGACCTTCTCGTTCTCTTTCATCCGCATAGTCTCCAACTCTCCTCGTAGAGTTTGCAACCTCACTTGCTTTACTCTTTCCCCTCCTTTGAATACTCTTTCGATGATGTCCCAAGCTTCTTTTGAAGTTTCGGCATCGGCTATCTTCTCGTGGATGGTGTCATCCACTGCTTGAAGCAACCAAAACAGTGCCGTTTGGTCCTTCTTTTGTGCTCCTTCGAGTTCCACTTGTTGGGCAACCGTCAAGACGGTTCCTTCCTCCGGTGTTGTGTAGCCATTATCGACAACATCCCATACTCCTTGTGACTTCAACAATGCTCTCATTTGAGCATTCCATCGGTCGAAGTTTGCTTTCTTCAATTGAGGTAGTTGGCCGAACATGGTGGCTGCCATCTTCTTCTTCAACAGTGGCTCTGATACCAATTTGAAGGCCCCAAATATCCGAAAATATTCTAAGTGTTTGGCTAACTTATAACTCAAAGGAATGGAGGAGAATGTATTATATTCCACACTTGATAAAACATTACAATTGGTGGCCTTATATAGGCATTACAAGAGGAGTAAAATAATCCCTAGGAAATACAATTTACCTTTCCAAGAAGACCTTTCATCTTTCCAATAAAAGTAGGGAAAGATAATTTATGTTCCCTAGGAAGTAAACTAATTAAGATTAATTAATTAATCCCAACATTTTCCTCATGTGCGTTTTTTATTTTATTTTTTTTTTCCTTTTTTCGATTTTATGTATATTATGTATGAATGTATGATATAAAAGTGAACAATTGATTAGTTTGTTTCATTGTAATCATTTAGAGGTGTTAATTAATTAAAATTTTAGTGTAATTTCTCTAGTTCATTTTATGCCCATAACATGTTTGTAGAAATTACTCAATGATTTTTTTGTTGAAATTCAAGACCTTTTTCCATTTTTTTGTACCTCAAGGGAAGAAGATGATGAAGGTGTGGACGTTGAAGACTTGGAGTAGAGTATGTTGTTTTTTTGTCATATGTTTGTATTTTGTTTGGCGGACAGACAATTTAGAATTTAAGTGTCTGTCTAGCCTAAAGTGAATGCGGTTTTGTCTTAAAATCTGAGCCAATTAACTACTCTCTGTCTTACAGCCAGACAAATTTTGTCTGGGCCAGACATTAGTAGTCTGGGCCAATTAACTACTCTTTGTCTTACAGTCAAACAAATTTTGTCTGGGCCAAACATTAGTAGTCTGGGCCAATTAACTACTCTTTGTATTACATCCAGACAAATTTTGTCTGAGCCAGACATTAGTAGTCTGGGCCATTTAACTACTCTTTGTCTTACAACCAGACAAATTTTGTCTGAGCCAGACATTAGTAGTCTGGGCCAATTAACTACTCTCTGTCTCATAGAAGAAATGGTGCACCGCTGCTTCTTTTGGGAAGAACGGGCTGTGGAGGCTCCATAGCTGGATTGGGATGGCTGTTTAGTTGTAGGATTGGAATGGTGGATAACATTGGCATGGAATAGGGACTGTGGCAAGCCAAGAAGGCTAGGGGCAGCAGCTTGGAGGGCGGCATGGTCCGTGGAAAAAGGAGAATGGTGTGCCCGTTGAGCCTCATCCTGAAGAAGCAGGGAATAAGCACGTTTAACAGAGGGAAGCTCGGGATTGAGGAGAAGCTGACTCCTAGGCTGGGAGTATGTATCCCGGAGCCCCATAAGAAACTGCATAAGCCTCCTGCGCTCAGCTTGGGCATGATAGGCAGAACGAGCAGAACACGAACACTGGGGAGGGGGGTTGAGAAGCGTGAGTTCATCCCAGAGACCACTTAATTTGTTGTGATAGGTGGGTATAGAATCGTCAGCTTGACATAGAGTGGCAATGGATCGTTCAAGTTCATAGATACGGGGACCATTTGCGGTGAAATAGCGATCCTTGAAGTCTTGCCAAACAATGGCAACATCGGGTGTGGACAGAACGGTGGAAGCAAGAGAGGTGTGGACAGAATTAATAATCCAAGACATTACCATATTGTTGACCCGGTGCCATCGACCATGATCCGGATGAGCGACTGACGGAGCAGGGAGACTACCATCAACAAAGGCGAATTTATTCCGGCCTTTAAGCGCCATACTCATGGCTAGCACCCAGGAATTGTAATTGTCAATACCTGTAAGAACTGCTCCAACAAGAACAGCACTAGGACTGTCGGATGAGAGAAGATGATACGGACTCTCGAGATCCATATGGGGATGCCGTCCAGAATTATTGAAAGCACCATCGTGGACGGTGTGGGATGTAGGAGAGGTAGTATCATCATCTCAAGAAGAACTCATGGTGAGGAGCAGCAATATGAAAAAAGGAATAAAAAAACGTGAGAAGCTAGAAGAATGGATCCTCTTGGTGGAGAGAAAAGCAAAGTTTTTTTTATGCAAAGAGAAGGGCCTGCGTATAGAAAGATAAGAATGCTCTGATACCATCTTAGAAAGCAATTGCATAATATTTTATTGATTAATTAAGTTGAATGCAAGGCCATATTTATAGTAGAAGAGTACAACGGTAGTATGTAATTAAGGTAATCTATACAATAATAGAAAAGTAACCAAATAATTCCAAATAAACTAATATCATATTTATTGTCTGGATGTTTGTAACAAATATCGTATTATACACATATATGTATTGACATGATTTTTAAAAGTCGAAGTTAATTCAACGATTTGTTTTGAAAAAATGTCTATCCACGCATACACCTGACCTGAACTCGCTTAGGCTTCAAATGCTCGACGCTTGATCGTGCAGTCTCGACACAACTTACGTATTTTAGAAAATTGTGTATATCTCAAACAAGATATTTCTAAAGGTTTTCTAAAAAGGTGAGTTCTACACTACCTCTTTTCACGTCGACCAATTAGAATATTGTAGTTCAATTATTTAATATAAATTAATGATCAAACAAATGCTTACTAGGTACGATACCCCCATAATGGATTATAGGAATCCAAACTATATAATAAATGGAGAGATTGGGCTCAAGAGAGGGAAGAAGATGATGAATAGTAGAATAGTTGTATGGAGTATGAATTAAGAACTTAGGGTTACAAGTTTCCCAAAGGGAGTATAAATAGACAAATAATGGGTCGGGCCGCTAATATGGGCCCGATAGGCCCAACTACACAAAAGACTAATCTAGTACATACAAATGATATAAATGACATCCGATAAGCGCGAGTGGGCCGCTGTCCGGGCCCAATAGTCGTGAGACCCAGGGGTCCGAGTCTATATACTCTATCAGGAGTCCCACACTCCCTGAGTCGAGAGTACTCGAGGCGAAAGGGAGTAGAACTGTGTGCTGATCTATCGTCTGGTGAGTAAACTTCGTGAATTTTTTTGAATTTCTACTTCTTTGGTTAACGGAGGCGCTAAGTCCCCCGCTCTTCGAGTCCCTCACTCCTTGAGGTGAATGTAGTGAGGTGAAGAGGAGTAGAGTAGTGCAGGTCTTGTGATGTCTTCAATATGGACCGAGGGTCGACACCTTTTGTCCATGTTGGGGAGATGCCTCGTTAAAAACCTCACTAGGGAAAAACCCTGTGGGGAAAATCCTAATGAGGGAAAAAGAGTACATCAGATGCCCCCAAAATGAAGCAAAAGAGGTGAACCCTTTGGCCTGGCGTGGAACTGCAACCGTCGGCATCTGCTAAGGGGATGGCCAAGATCGATCCTCATATGTGCGTAGCTCAACATGATAGGTAATCCTAGTCATCAAATAAAGATGACTAAGAGATAGGTCAAGCGATCATCCATAATATGATGTCCTGGTCATCAAATAAAGATGACCGAGATATGTGGCCGAAGGGGCCGGTATGATGTTATCATTTAGTTGCACTTATGCATTCAAATAAAATTGTTATAATTTCTTGGACTTATAATTTGCTATTGGATTTGGGTCTACATTAAGTGGCCTCAAATTTTCAAGCTGGAGCTCAAACTAGGTTTCTATGCTTAGTTGGAGCGTGGCATGCATAAAGGATTGAACCTACCGCTGAGGGATTGTAGTTCATTTCCGATAGCTAGAGGGTACACATAACTCATTCAAAACATAGAAACTAGAGTATGTATTAGATAACATTTGGATTGGGAGCTTACTATCCACACTCGTTTGACGTGACCCGGTGGTGCAAGATTTTAGCACTCTTCCCGTGTACGCTATTTACGGGTCTTTTCACGGATGACTCGTCCCTTGAGATTGAAGTTTGATGCTATATTATTAAAATATTTCATTTTTTTTTTTTGCATTTTTGAATCAATTTGTGAATTTGACAAATTATATTAAAACTAGAGAAAGTGCACTTAGCTTCTAAGAGTGGGCTGATTTTGATTGATTGTTGTTGAAATCGTGGCCCATTAGCTTTTGAGAATCAATCTTGGGCTTGAAATGGTCTTAGCCCACATGTTCATAGGGCAGATGACTGCTCTCTCTCTTGCTGCTTGCGGGTGTCAACCAAAGAAGGGGGGAAGTGCTGCAGCGTCCTTGCTTTGACTAGAGAAGGGAAGAGTGAAGACCCGGATCTAGTTACTGCCGGACACAGGGGATGTTCTCGATGGTCGTACCTGACGGGTCTCCATGGTCGTCGCTGGTCTACATTCCAACCATCGAGCCGTGTCGGTGTCGGAAAGTAACGGAGTAACCAGGAGCGATTGGGCCCGGAGGTGATGGAGCTAGCGGCGGGCGTCTGATGTGACGTCGGGGTTTGCATCACCACCGGTCGGAAGAGATATGGATGACGGCGGCGAGACCGGAGCAGCGACAAACCAGCCTCAAACAGAACACAACGACGGACAGAGCAGCAGTAGGGAGGTCTGGAGCAACAGCGTCGCAGCCCACACGCCGGCGGCTACAGTTTTGGTTTTTAAGAACAGTTTTTTGGCTTATTTCTTGCGATTCGAATGAATTTCTTGATGTTTGTGGAGAGGAATCTCTCAAACAAAGCACCATGGATTATAGGAATCCAAACTATATAATAAATGGAGAGATTGGGCTCAAGAGAGGGAAGAAGATGATGAATAGTAGAATATTTGTATGGAGTATGAATTAAGAACTTAGGATTACAAGTCTCTCAAAGGGAGTATAAATAGAGAAATAATGGGTCGTGCCGTTAATATGGGCCCGATAGGCCCAACTACATAAAAGACTAATCTAGTACATACATATGATATATGAACAGTACAATAATACAAAAGACATTCGATAAACGTGCGTAGGCCGCTGTCCAGGCCCAATAGTCGTGAGACCCGGGGATCCGAGTCTATATACTCTATCACCCCATGTTTTAGATGGCTACAATAACACTCATCTTCTAAGAAATCTATCTTATTTCGCCCTTGAATTCCTAACCCAAGGTCCCTCAAGCCCTCGAAAAATCTAATGCATACTAATAAAATAGAGTATTCTTAATTACTCTGAGAATATGTGTTGTTGAATGGGCGCATCGCTAATGTGACACGTGCCATGTCTCGTCGTCTTCCTCCAGACGACACATACCCGCGTAGTACGACTGTGCTCTAATCATCGGCACGTGTGTGGCGCCTGCGGTATGTTCCGGTGGCCAGTTGGTCACCAGAAAATACCAATTTGCTCTTCTAGATGAGACAAATCCAACGGTTTGATCATATTTCAGTTCCACGGAAAAATTAAAAACACAAATTTTGTAAGACAGTAGATTTTTTGGAAAAAATGAAAAAAAAGTACTAAAAGCTCAACCTCGCTCTAATACCACTTTTTTGGATTGGACTAGACCAAAACTTGTTTTATTTTTTGCTTCTTTCTATTATGAGATGCCATACTTTCTTTTGAGGGGTTTTGATCTAGTCTCCCTCTTCTTTCGTATCCTTTTATTCATTTTAATAAACTCTGAAAAATGTTCTTTGACATTCGTCCCACCAATGAGTAGTTTGCTTCCGGGTTAAAAAAACATGGGCAATATTTTTCTACTTCTCACATTAATTTCTCATTATGCCTTTAATTTTGGCAGCAAATTTCCATCCAAAAGTAGTATAATATAAAGACTACTTTATACAATATAAGGATTGGATCAAATAAAGAGTAGATTATACAATACAAGGATTGGACCAATAAAAATTAGTAGTTTCCACAAAAAGTAAGAAAAAATCTTGAGCTTCAGATTTATAGTACCATGGCTCTAAATATGACAAAATGTACAGTGGATAAAAATGCGGTGAAATTTTCGTAAATAGATCAAAGTTTTTTTCAATGTAAAAAAAATCATTTTCTGAATACCAAATAAAGTGAATGCAATAGTGCACCTCAAATTATCAAAAATTGAGTCATCCACACTTTGCATTAGAATATCGCTTGTAATCAATAGCCAAGGTCATCAATTTCTAATTAGAAATGCTTGCCAGAGTATAATTCGAAATTCTAATTTGCCAACATTTCTTTTTTATGTCCCAACAAATGTTATCATTTTCCCTTCTAAAGTAAACAATTTATGATTCTACTTATTTTTCTCTAATCTGTACAATTTTCAACCACATTTTTGTATTATTCTTATTTCACTCTAACACAAACCTAACAAAGTTCAATTAAACACAAGTAATATAATTTTAATTATCACTCATTCACACTCTACTCTAATGAAAACTGCTTCGATTTACGAATGTAATATTCAAACATGTACAAAAGTTATTCTCATGATAAATCGACTCCTCAAGTATATCTAAAGACATTATAATTGTGAATGTGAGTTAATACCCGTGAATTATGTCCATCTATTGTAAGCATGAGATGTACATTTTTATAAAATCATTGCACTTCTTTTTTCCATGGGTTTAAATACCTCAACTCCGTTTATTTTAAGAATCACTGTTACCACAACACTAAGACCATTTGCAGTGGTTTGGGATTAGGAGTCAAAAGATTACAAATGAAGATTTTAAACTCTTATTTGTGTGTAGTGAGGGATTAAAAGAGAAAGTAAAAGTAGAAAGGGGAGTGGAGGAGTGTAAAAATAGAGGGAGGAGTTGACGGTCAAAAATAAATGAAAAAAAGGGGATGAGATGGATTCTTATGTTGCATGCTTGGCCAAACCATGTGTTGACTGACATCACGGTGACATCATTATTACCCTAAATTGTTTTAAACTCTTGTAATTTTTTTATTTATTCTCCAATTTTTTCAAAATATATATCAAAATTCATAAAATTTTATGATCTTTTATATTACATCAGTATATAAAATGAAACAAAAATTCTTAAGTTTTAACTATTGAAATTTCTTCAGTCTACAAAACGATGAAACACAAATTTTTAATTCATGGAATCTTCACAAATAAATCAATATTAATATTTCATAATCGAACTTTACTTGAACTAAGTTTATTTTTGTTAACCGAAAACATTAAAAAAATTAATGAAATTTATTTATTTTTACATCGAAATGTGTATTTTTTATTTCACAATTATTTAGGGAAAATATTAAATGAAAAACATTACTTATAATAAATTAATTAATGTTTTACTAAATTGATATGTAAAAAAATATGTTGAGTGTATTTTATTGACGGTGCACGGATGCAGGAAAAAACAGTATTGACTGAGTCGAAACACTGTTTTCATATGAACGGAGTCCAAATTTAACAATTTGGACTATCAACCAATACAAATGGTCTATGTAGAAGGTTAAACAACTTTTAAGTGGAAATATCTCGAGAAGTTCACTTTTCCTAAATGCATTTCATTTATGTCCCCTGAAAATTTACTTTTCATATTTAACTTTATCTTTTCAGTTTTGGTTTTTTATTTCAAAAATAGCCGACTCCTTAGATCTCAGATCAAATCAATATGACCCTTGTATTCATACCTTCTTTCTCAACTCTCCTCTATTTTCTGCCATCCTCTGCCTCCAACATCCACTGTCCAATCCTTCTTCGGCTTCCCCTCTACAGCTCAGCAGCTCTGAGAAGCATCAACGCCTACTCACCATACTCGAACTCACCGCACATCGGATAACCTCGACGACTCGCTCCCAGATAACGAACAAATTCAGGCAAAAGGTATTCTCCTACCCTCCTTAATTCATCTTCCCTCCCTTAATCGCACCGTGTGTTGTATCAGAACTCTACTATACAACGCGATCCTGAGTTGAAAGTTTTTGATTATTAGGTTTTCCTGAAGTTGAATTGAATATAAATATCAAATACATGTAATTCTATGTTTTTGCTGAGTATAAAACAAATTTTGTTCATACACCATGCCTTATGATTTTGCAATTGATCCTCGATTTTACCAAAATGACGTGTCTATTTGTGTGTATTGTTTCACACCAATCATTGTATCCCTTTTAGAATTAAAGCTTATTGATGATTCAAATCATTCTATACTTATGCAGGATTGTAAATAATTGTAAAGTTCAATCTGCTACATAGTGTCAATCTAACCATTTGTATAATCGTAACTTAATTCCATACTAGAAACATGTTACTGTTTGTTGGGTCTATTGTTTTGCACTTTTGCATATACACTGAGTTATTGAGACGGGAAAAAGAGGGTTATTGATGCTTTAATCCATTGAACTTCTATTTTACTCCGTATGAAGTAATAATAAGTAAACTCTAGTGTAATGAACAATACAAAGCTTGTTAGTGGAAACTGGGAGGAATGACTATGGAGATTCCAATGAATCCAATCACTGAAGTGTTTTATGAACGACTGCATTAATAAACTCGAGCAATATGAAGAAGTGTTTTGAATTTTATACAAGTATTTTACATTGACAAACTAATTGATTTTGAATTATCCGCTAGATTCTTGGTTACATCTCTTGTTCTTGAAAGATAGTTGACTTCAATATTTTAATCTCGGGAAATGAGGCCTGCTATCACACTTTTTTACCTTTTTGGAGGATTGAATTAGTTATTCTTGTTGAGTTTTTTGTTACTTCTCTCCTTGTTACTATAATGTGGAGTTTGAATAATTTAGAATCAGCCTAAAATCAGTGACACACAATTATGTCTTGATGTTATTCTTGATTTTTTATAAATATTTTTTAGTTACGGATGCTAGATAGACCTCTTACTTCATTTATTTAATCTGCTATTTCTTTTGCCACAAGAGTTCATCTTCTATATTTTCTTTAAAGTTGTTGTATTCTCATTGTAGGCACAAAAAATATAGTACATGAAGTTGATAATAAGACTCAGAGTATGAATGTAGAAAATGAAGACAAGTGCTAAATATGAGGAATTGTGAGTTGTCGTGCATAAAAGAAGACATCATATGAAACAAAGCCAAATTATACAATAGATAAATGAAAAAATTAAATAATAGATTGGGTTATTTATTTGTTGTGATACTTTAGATTTTTTTGGTGTATCGTATGTGTTTCTTTATGTTGAACCTTGTTTTTTTGTTGCATCATGTTGCTTATTGTTGCTCATTGTGAATTTTGCTTTTTGTTGTTTATTTAGGTTTGTAATTATCTTAGGCTACTTATTTGAAATAAGAAAAAAACCATATATTATATATGTACACACACAAAAACACCTCAAATGATAAATTTAGATTCATGAGTATCACCAATAAACAATAACAAGAAACATGAAGAAACAAAAAAAAGTTATCAACAAAAAGAAACACACAGAAACAATATGCAACAAAACTAACATTAAAATGATGATAATAGTAATTTTAGCGTTGTTCAAATTTTCTTATAATTTTTTCATTTGTTTTATGTTTTTTAGTTTAACGTATATATTTTAGATTCATGAGTATCAACAATAAACAATAACAAGAAACATGAAGAAACGGAAAAAAAGTTATAAAAAAAAACACGCAGAAACAATATGCAACAAAAGTAACATTAAAATGATGATAATAGTTATTTTAGAGTTGTTCAAATGTTCTTATAATTTTGTCCTTGATTTTATGTTTTTTAGTTTAACGTATATATTTTCATTTTAAAGATTTTTTCTATTTTTAAAAACTCGTTACTCTTTTAAAAGTTCTAATTGTTTTTATAGTTTTGAATATTTTCAAAAATATATTATTTATAAAAAAACTAAGGTTAGATTTTTAAAATATAAATTACTTTTTTTCAATTTTGATTTTTTTCTTCCTCTATTTTAAATTTTTTTACATTTATATGTTTATGCACTTTCGTTCTGTTTTTGTTAAACTCATACAAATTTCATTTTCTTTATTTTTGACTCTTTTATAGTGCGTATATGCTTATACTCCGTATGATATTGCCGAGCATGTGAACTCTTTAAAAAAATACATTTTAAAAGAATTGTTATTTTTTTATGATTTCCCACATGTTTAACTATTTTAAAAAAGTTTCATTTTGAATTTGATTTTTGTATTCCTAAATTATATGCAGTGTTTTAAATTATAAATATTTTAATTCCATTTTATTTTTTAAAATTAATTTACAATTTCCAACTTCAATTATTATATTATTCTTGTCTAATTTTTTCTTCCGTTAAATTTTTTCTTTTTTCCAACTTCAATTCATTTTAAATTATTCATTTATTGTAAATTTTAATAAAATTTTACATGTGCTTTCTATTTACAAATAAAATTGAGTGATTATTGGAGTTTATATTAGTTTGCTGAAGAAGATGCAGAGAGAGGACCGTACGTGCATCTCTTAGGACTTGGGAGTATCGATTCCAGCACGTGAGTTACGTCGTGTATACTTTTGAAATAAGTTTTAATAAATGAAAAAGTGATACTACGTATTATTTTCACGCTTAGGTTTAAATTACTTGGGATAAATTCCCAACTTTTAATTTGTGTGCAACGGTGCAACCATCTTTCAAGAGGTATAGTTGTTGAGTAATTAATATTTACTACTAAGTAATATTTATACATTTCAATATCTTTTAAATACTTTTTGAGTCTTATTGTACTAATTGAGGTGATTTACCTAGTATAATTCTCAAACTCCAAAGTCAAATTATGTAAATGTATTTCAAATGTTGACTAAGCATAAAATGATTCTCATTATGTTTTATATATGCTTCTTCTTCGGAACATTGTTTCCGAAGTATAATTAATTTTATGTCATTGGTGTCTTATTAGCAATTTATTTAGTCCCTCATGCTTTTGTCTCAACAAAGAAGCCGATTTCCAAATTAAATTTCAGCTATTGAGATATTTTTATTTGAACTGTTTTCGAACCTATGGAATTCAATAAACACTTAGATTTGTATCATAACATCCGCTCAATATCCATGTATATTAATGTGGTCAATAACACATATTCTGTATATAATAATTCACCTTCGAAAAACTTACTCTGACTACAACTGTTTGGAGGAAATTTTACTTTAGCATTGGGCATAAGATATCGAGGCTTGCGCGACCAAATTTGGCTAGTATATAACATAAAGTTATTGTTGAATGTATTGAAATAATGTACTTTATGGTTGAAAATGTTTTTAATTAGATTGATTTTAGTCATATGTCATATTTAAAGAGATCAGGTCACGAAGGATCATACTTCAACAGCTACAAGATACACATGTAACAAAACGTACCTTATCGATCCAAATCAGGCTAGACTCAAACGAATCAAACTTGTTCAAATCATAAAATTTAAATCCAATTAAAAGGCACTATAAACCGACATATTATATATTTTCAATAGATTTATTTCTCAAACTTTTATCGATGGTTACAATTATAATTGGGTGCTACAAATAGAATGGCCCCTTTTCGGGAATCGGAGCCCATCCAAGCTGATCAAAGGCCGAAGCTCGCCAGTTCCATACTCGTGAACCCACTTACCCAGGTCCACTATCAGAGAGTATTTGTGAATGGGTCAGTACTATCCGCTGGACCAAACCCTCCACAAAATCACCACCCATGTGAAGTGTTCTAATGCACTTAATTAATGCAGAGAAATATGGTTTCAAAAATAATGTTTGATATATAATAACAATGCATAGTGGATAAAAATAACATAACAATTAGTAGTAATTATAATAATGTTAATTTTACACAATAATAATTAAGAAAATTTAATCGTATTAATTTTCATCACATTTTTATCCATATATATTGTATTTTAGTACTACTTAATATTTAAGAAAAATCTCATAATTTAAATGAAAGTAACATTTTACTTTTAGTTTTTGTCTGTTTAGAGAACGTACTATAGTATAATTCTGAAAAAAATGATACCGTATTGTGTTAAGAGGTACATAAATGTAGAGTAAAATCTCACAATTTTCTTTTATTATTTTAAGAGGTACATATATTATACTCCCTCCGTCCCAATTTGATGGTCTCATTTATTTTGGGCATAAGTTTTAATAAAGTGGTTGAAAAGGTAAAAGTTGTGGTTAAGATTTGAGTATAATAAAGTGAAATGATATTGACTACATCTTTTTTTCCAAAAAGGGAAACATGACCATTATTTTGGGACATCCCAAAAAGGAAATACAGGACCATCATTTTGGGACGGAGGTAGTATCATATAATGTTAATTTTTTGAGGTAGCAGCAGAAACATTAAATAATGTTATCAAGTTCATAGAATTAATTTAAAAGTGTGAACGGTCGAATCAAATTTCAATAAGTAGACCCATAATTTAGCGGAAGATTGGATGAAAGATAATCTATACGTGCTCTTTAAGCTTCATAGTTGTATGTTGTATGATCAATGGTGGAGACACAAACAGGTTAGAAATGGTATCGTCCATTTCAAGAAAAAATTACTATTGTTTTAAATATGGGTAAAGACGTTTTGTAATTTCAAAATAACTACAAAAATTAGATTGTTTTAAATATGGGTAAAGACGTTTTGTCGTAATTACGTTTTGTAATTACGATTGTTTTAAATATGAGTATGTTTTTATTCTTAAAATCGCTACAAAAAAATTACGGGAATGACATTTATTTGACACAGATTTATCAATTATTTTGTGCCAAATAGCGCGTGCCAAACTGTTTTTGACACAAATTTGACACATACCTGTCAATTATGAAAGAATTCTACCAAAAATTCATGTCAATACCGTGTTTTTTATAGTAAATAGAAGTGATTAATGACAAACTTGAAAAATAGTGACATGTTTTATGTTTGATGCTATAATATAAAATTGTGTCCCACACTCCCACCCTCGGACAATAAATTTTTGGTTCTGCCGTTTTGTAAGCCCCCTCATGCTTTAATTGGTTTGGTCACCAAGTGTGGGTTAAGAACTTGGCTTGTTAGAGGCCAATCTAATTGCTAGGCCACTCCATTGGCATGGTACACTATGTTAAAAGTTTGGAACAACTAACTCATCTGTGTCTTAGATTGTACAATAGGAGTCACGCACTCACGAAGTATTAATTTCTTCCTTATATTGAATAGTTCCTATGTGCTAAATAGGGTTATACATCTGATCTCCCATACCCCATCTAGGTAAAAGCATTTATGACATTGGGGTAATGATGATTTCATAGACGTTCTACGGTAATTCTATCAGGTCTTTGAGCAAATATGGGATGTCACTCCTTACTTGGAAGTTGAACCTCAAGACGAATAGCTATTGTTGTAAGTTGAGTTTCATGATCTAGGATTTATTCATACAATATACTCAGGGGCGGCTTTGAGGGCAGTTGGGCCAGGCAACTGTCTTGGGCCTCAACTACCAAGGGGGCCTCCAAAAAATTCTACTCCAGTATTAGTATTAGGTGTTATTCACAGACCGTCAATACACCAAGCGGCAACTGCAAGCAGAAATCAGCTTTATAGTTCACTTCTGACTATTCGTCCTTCATCAAAGTTGTAGCTAATGAAGTCTTCTATCCAACACAACTTGCAAAACTGGATTTGAATCATCCAATAAAAATATATGAATAAAATGGTGGAAGGTCGCATTCTGAAATCTAAACAGAGGTTGTCTGACTTCATCGTCTGTTTTCACCTTTCTTCTCTCCGATTCTCACAATGGTGTCTTCATATGATTTGTAGCCCTTCAAGTTGGCTTTCATATGAAACTTGAATCATGTTGTTTGGATGTTCCAAGACTTGGATCTGAAAACACAAATTTCATCATTATAACTTCTCATAGCAAAATGGTTCTTGTGTGATATAATAAAACTTTGAGAGAATTGTTGAAATAGGACTAAATCAAAGTGAAATTGCAAAAATAGGACTACTATGTTTTATTGGTCAAAAATAGGACTAAAAAAAGTTGATCTGACTAAACTGCCCCCAATTAAAAAACATGACACCGACGACGCATAACAGCCTCTCATGTCCGCAAGTCATCTTTGCTTCCCTCTCCACTGCTCAGGTCGACATATCTCCAGGTAAGTATTTCTTCTTCTTTTCCTCCATCTCCTTTTCCTTCTCTTTTTTTCTCTGCTCCTTTCTTCTTCAGTCATATTTTTTATTTAAAAATTTTGGATTTGGAATTCACGGTTCTATCAATTATTCGAAATTATTTCGGTCTAATTTTTTTGTTATGTTCATCTATCAACTTTTTTAAAAAAGCCACATGATTGGCAATTTTTGGAGACACATTCGCAATTTTTGGAGATGACAGTATTATATGTTTGAAATTTCCATGATTTTGACATTTTTGACAAATGATGACATTTTTGGATCTAAAAATGTCATGTTGTAATCTCAAAAATGACATGTTTTTACATCTAAAAATGTCATGTTGTAATCTCAAAACTGACATGTTTTTGCATCTAAAAATGTCATATTTTTGCCTTTGATGTTAACATGTCATTTTCGAGTAAAGTGACAAACATGTCAAAACTGTCATCATAACAAATGCAATGTCATGAAATTGTCATTATTTTTAAACGATGGCATTTTCGAAATAAAATGTCTAAAATAATCTGAAATTCAAAACAAGTAGAAGAAGTTTTAATCGAAAACAGAGGAGTGCAAGGAGAACTGCGAGGAGAAGAAAACAGAGGGGGGGAGGGGAAGAAGAAGAAAAAGAAAAAGAAGAAAAGAAGAGGAAGAGGAAACAGGAGGAGAAGATGCAGAATATCTGATTTTGTCGGAGAGAAGAGGTGGTGGTCGGCGTTGAGCAGGTGGTTGCGATGATGGCGGTTGAGTTGCGATCGAAATCGGTCAAGCTGCTACATGGCAGCTGCGCCGGAAAGGGAGGGCTGAATCGCATGTGTAGGATCGATGGCAGAGGGATTGGGGAAAGGTGATTTTGGAATCAGGGGTAAAAATGTAATCTGGAGTCCTATTTAAGCAATTTAAAACTTAAAGTCCTAGTTTGGAGTTTTAGCCATGTTTTAGTCCCATTTAGGATAATTCCTTTAAACTTTACAATGTACTCCGTACTGCATATTACGCTTAAGACAATTTTACATTTCCCTACTTCATTTCTTCTACTTAATATTGATGGCATCAATTTTACCATGCCAAATAATTATAAAAAACTGCTAACATTTTAATTTGTGTATGTTTGAAATCATAGTGATCGAGCTTGCTTGAAGTTGGATAACCAAAAATTGATAGTTATCCTAGTCTATATTTATACATAACAATAAAATCAAAAATAAGAAATCTTGGTTTCTCAAAAACTGATTGTCATTCTAGTCTCAATTGATTCATCTTTAGTATTAATCATAGTGTAGGGAATTGAAGTTACATTCTCCTATGTGCGCGACTCCTAGTGGGCACTGAACTATACATGCATTCAAACAATTTTTAGAATTTTTGGGAAGAATTTTAATACAAAACTTCAATTCTTACCCCCAAGTATTCAAACAATTTTTAGATTTGGGGTACATGCTCCCTAGATGTTTCATTTCTAAGCTAGGTACCAACATATATAGGGAACTCAAATTCCAACTTGCATATTCCGGGTAACTCTAATTTATTCTCTCAAAGGTTTGTAATGAGTTTTTATGAGTCTAATATTATTCCTCGACGAAGTGCGGCTTTCTTGTGTGACTTTCGTCCATCTTTCGTGAGGCTCTCTTTTTCAGCAGACCGCAACGTCAATATGGCGGCCAAAGGTTGTGTACCCCTAGCAGCAGGTGGATAATTTCAAGGATGTCGTTCATGGAGTACCCCCCCCCCCCCCCCTACTGAACCTCCACCATGGAGTGCAGGAGAGTTTAGGGTTTGGAAGCAATATTTTAATTTTACTGTTTGCTTGCTATTAATTTTCGTGATCAGTCTGTTTATTTTTCTGTTAGTTACTTTTATTGTTGTAAGAATCTTGCATTAGGATTGGGTGATGAGAGGTCTGATTTAACTGCCGTTGGCTCATTTATGCCCATTATTGGATTAGCGAGTTATATTGCTTTTTTGGAGATGATTGACTCTAAGTCTAGTTCGAGGGCTGGCGGTTGCTTGTGGTCCTTTTATCGTTTTACCCCCTATCTGAATGATGTGATATCATTTTAAGCCATCCATTTTGACGATAAAAAAAGCTCTAGTGGTGTAAGAACATTGAGACAACAGAGGAAAATTGAGACAACAGAGGAAAATTGAGACAACATAGGATGGTGATGTTTTTATGAAAAATAGAATCATGTGATAGAAATTGAATTGAGAATTGATTTAGATACAATAATTATTAATATATCTATTCTTCAAACATTGGTACAAAAGGAGGTGATGTGATTATTAAAAAAAATAAGTTTATGTGGTTGATTTTGAATTTAAAAAGTTAGAATAAAGTAAGAATGATTTTGAACCATACAAATATTATAAAATTTAGTATGACTCTATCTTAGTGAGACAGATCAAAACGAAAAGATGAAACAATCTTAGTGACACGAAGAGAGTAATAAATATGATATGGTACAAAGTTAATACTACAAACGAAAATGAAAAAAGAACCATTCTTGTTATATAAGTACAAATTTTATACACTTTTACACACATATGTGTATAATGATAGTTACAGACAATTACCGATTTTTCAAACGGTATGAACAAGCAATTAGGGATGTGTATAAAGAGCCCACAAATTTTATATGCAAATAGATTTTCTCATCAAAAAATGAGATGGTTGGATTCAGGGAACAGGTACTACCTTCGTCCCAATAGTAAAAATAAGAATAGTAAAAATTGTGTGGTTGATGTTTGTGTAGAGGAGAGAGAAATAACCAAAATCACAAATTAATTATTTTATTGTGAAAGTGACAAAGTTTTTTGGGACAAACAAAAAGGAAAAGTTGGCAAAGTCCAATGGAACAGAGAGAGTATTACTTATGAGCAGCGGCGGACCCGGGGGGGAGGGGGGGGGGGGCGAGCTGGTGTCGGTGCCGCAGTTTCATTACCAGCACCCAGGGGACTAGGGGAGAGCCGCTGAGCCTGACTGCCGGAGACTTGGAGTCGGAGAGGCAAAGAGCTCTATAACTCTGTTTGCGCCAATCACCATTGCCGGCTAGAGGACAGGGAAGAAGCGAGCTTCAAAAAAGATCAAACCTTTATAATTCTGGGCCTATGTTGTGAAAAAAATTAAAGGCATATCGGGCCAAGGAAGGCCCAATGACCAGCACTCCAAGTCGCCTTGCGCAAGCAACCAACGAACCAAGCAGTGAAGCAGGCAAAGTAGCATCGCAGCACGCCGGACGCCGGACGCCACCACACCGGACCGTCATCTGCCAGCTCGCCGACCGCCGTTCTTTCGTCGCCCGCCACTGTGACCGGTATTCCTATTTTCAGTTTTTCTATTTTCCCCTTTTTATTTAAATTAAAATTTTGGTAATTCATTATACATTTTTTAAATAAATTGTCCTATTAATTTAATAGTGAATGTAGTGATTACATACAAATTAAGGCTAATTCATATATGAATTTATTGTTGTACACTTGTACAATTTGTTAGGTTAACAATGTTGAAATTCTTAATACCGAATGGAAACAGATGCGAACTCGCAGGACACAATTATCTCCCTTAATTTCCTAGAGTAGTTAGTTTTGGACTTATATGTAAACATTAAGCTTTACGACACTTAATTTAGATAATCGTATGCGTTTTTTCTAAATTTATTATGATGTATTTATTTGATACATTTCTCGGCACCTGCTCAAAAAAGTTCTGGTTCCGACACTGCTTATGAGCAAAATACGAGCGTGTATATTATACATCCGGCTGTACAGTGAGCACCGTACAGCCGGCCAAACAAGGAAAGTAACGAGCCCAAGGAAAAAATAGCGAAATACTTCGATGCCATTTTTGTAATTAATGTGAAAATCGCAGTTTCTGATAAATGAGCATTAGTGTACTGTTAATGAGCAATAGTCCAATTTTAATGAGCATCGTGTTAGCAAAAGAAAGTTGATATCACAACAAAAAACGGTGGCATTTTCATAATATCAGTGAAAATCGCGGTTTTGGTTAGATGAACATTAGTACACTTTTAATGAGCATCAGATGTATTATATTGAGCATTAAGAGTCGAATAATGAGTATTGTAAAACCAATTTCATAATTCACTTTCTTTTTCTTATTTTTTATTTTTTTTAAAACTCATTAAATTATACTCCTCCGTCCCTTGAAACTTTGTCAACTTTTCTTTTTTGGATGCTCACTAACTTTGCCACTTTCCCTTTTAAGTAAAGAATTTGTGGTTCCAGTTAATTCTCTCTCCTTTGCACAAACCGCAACCACACAAGTATTACTTTATTAATCCTCGTGTCGGTCAAACTTGGCAAAGTTTTAAAGGACGGATGGAGTATCTATAATCAATTCCTATGAATCTCAATATGCTAATCTAATCTAATATGGTACTTTTGAAACATGCATTGTTATGACATTTTTAAAATGAGCATAACATGAGTACCAATTACCCCAATTGAGTATATGTAACTTACAAAATGAGCATAAATATGAATTCATAAGGTTTGTTAGTTGGACGTCGTAACATTTTCATGGAGTAATATTTAATAAACTAACAAATAGTCATCTTAAAATTAAAAACAGAAGAAAAAAACATTAATACCTAAAACATTTTATAATGCACAAATTTAAAAAAAAACTTAATTAAGTTAGAAGATTGATTGGAAAAAGTTGAAAAAACTGGAACAGTAACAATATTTTAGATTATACAGTTGCATACTTATTGAATAAAAAATTAAAGCATGTTAAAGGAAAAAATAAAGAAAAGAATGAACTAAAAAAACAACAAAAGCAACGAAAACAGAAAAGTAACGACAAAATGAAAAGCAAGGTGAAAAGCAACGAAAAAAGAGAAAACGAAAAAGAAAGTAAAGCCGTAGCAATCAAAAGATTGCTACGTGTAGACCAAAAGATGACCAAACAATGAAAAGCAAGGCCAAGGAAAAGAAAAGCGGGATGGGTGGGTGTAGACCAAAAGATAACCACCATCCCCTTGAGAAATATTGCCTAGGGAATATTGCCTAAAGGATTTTTCGAGGCAAAACAAGGAGGACCATCACTCTTACCATAACAAAGATGAATTTCGTCCCAAAGATCTTTAGTAGAAGTAAAATATAAGAAAGTGGAACAAATTTCAGGAGAAATTGAGTAAATCAGCCAAGATAGTATAAGTGCGTTAATACGATACCAGACAGAATAGGCAACAGAATCTTCTGACTTCGGTTGAGCAATGGAAGCAACAAGGAATCCCATCTTGTTCTTGACACTAAAGGCCATTGTAACGGACTTCTTCCAAGCGTTGAAGTTCTCACCAGTAAGTGTCTCAGAGATGATGCGTAGACCTGCATGATCACTTGGATGCAAGTAGTATGGAGATGAAGGATCTTCAGTAGGATTTAATGGAAAGATGATGTTCGAAGTCATCGCAATCAAAGATGTGCGAAGAAACTAGGGTTAGGGATTGTGGAATTTCAACAGAAAAGGAAAATCGATTGTAGAAATCTATATGAAAGATGAAGATGAAAAAATGAATTAGGATCGAAGAACCAAATCTGATACCATAATAGCGATTGAAATCAAAGCAGAAGATCTGATTGAACTATTGAAGATCAAATACAGAGGAGTTCATGTGCGGAAAGAGAAGAGAATTGAAGAGAATGAATTGAATAAAACCTAGATTACAAACTATGCTATTTATATCTAGGCTAAATGGACTAAGGCCCAATATAAAACAAATATAAAAAATAGTCCAGGTAGTTTATTCTTGATACACGGAGATCTAACGGGTTCGTGTGGTGGGAGGAGCAACCTAAAAGGTAATGTAAGTCATGGCGGATTCATCCTTTGGAGCCAGTACTGAAGAGGTTGACTGTGATAAAATCCAAATTTAACTGTTTAGGGGCTTTGAAAAACTGAGCTTTAAGCCCGACGTCTGGATTATAAAAAAAAAGCAGCAGCGGCCATCCATGCCCGGCTGAAAAGAAAAGCAGCAGCCTAATTTTTACCCTATAAATTAGATCTAATTACCGTATATATTACCAGCAAAATACATTTACCGCCTTTTTCTCGTGCCCCTACCAAAGAAGCCCTGATTTTAGTTTGAAGGCTTTGAGCGATCAATACAAAATTACAAACCAATATAAAACCGCAGCCTATAATGATTCAGAGCTCGCCGGAGGTAAAGCCGCATTTTTTGGAGCCGCCTGACGTCTCCGGACACATACAAAGTCTCAGCGCTAGAGAATGGTTGAGACCAGCCTGATGCCAAAGTAAAAAAGAAGAAGAAATACTGCATTCCCATTTCATTAATTTGATCAGACACATTATTGATTCAACTCTTTGAGCACAACTTGCTACTTTCAGGCTTCTATTATTGAACTTCCCCCTTTTTATTGATCAGTGGAGAAGGCTAGCATCTCGAAATCAGCGTCCCTATTATTTAGGGAAATACTCCGCCTTGTAGATTGGCCAGGTAAGAAGGCATGCTGATGAGATACTACGTATGTTTCTATGTCTATCTGTTGTTTGAGGAAAATCCTGACTAGTTCCACAGTGACTGACAATGTATTGATTGACGATGTAGTAAGGTTATTAAGAAACCGATTGAAACTGAATTAATAAAGTAAGAATCATTTAGAATCATATAAATTTTATCAAATTTTATTAAATTTGATAGGATACAATCTTAATAAGACAATCATTCCTCTTAATAAGACAATCATAAAGAGACGAGACAGAGGGAGTATTTTCCTTACAATACATTTCGCTTTTATACAGGAGCATCTGAGAAAGAACCGAACCAGGAGGCATTAAAATGCTGACAGATATTACTCTATCATTCGTATAGTCTGAAGAAGTTATCATTTTAGCTTACTACTCCTCTGTCCCATTTTTACTTTCTTTTTTGATTTGTTCCAAATGAATGTCATGTTTCTTCTTTTGGCAAGAAATACGCGATCTTTGTAATTTTGCTTTATTTTACTCAAATCTCACACAATTTTAACTTTGAACCACTTCACTAGTAATCATATAAAACTAAAATAGAACATCTGATATGGGACGGGTAGTACCAGTAGTATTTATACTCCATACTGATAAATTATGTCATACTTAAAATACTTCATAAATTTGATTGATTGATTTATTGTTTTATTTTTAAAGGGCAGACATGACCATTTAAAGTTTTACCTGGTGGCTGAATTTGTTCCTTTGTCAACTAAGAAACTTATATCATAGGCTTTTCTTGCTCGTATGTCGAATCATTCAGCTGTAGCTCTGTAAGTGTAGAGTGTACCCAGACTGCCTTCCTTAAATTTTCTTACTAGTTAATGCTAGTGGTTTTTCAACTAGTCTGTGTTTATGTGTAGCACCAATGGAAAATATGAACGGGGAAGCAATGTATATCATCTTGAAAGCCAATGGTTCACCAGTTTTTCTGATGCATATGAGCTGCTAAAACTCATGGAAGAAAGCAAGTAGGTTAGTATGGATTAGACGCTTTTCATTTTGATCATTTTCTACTCTTGTGTGCGTAGACTGCATGCATCTCTTTTTTTCCATCATGTAAGAAGAATTTAATAATTCAGTCTGCAATTAGTTGCAATGAACAAAATGTTGACATTGTTTTCATAAATGTCTGAAACTATGACTACAGAAATCAATATAATACAGCTAATTGTGTTGGATAGTCTTGAGTACAGAACAATTAGCAAGTCAATTGATATGTTCCATTTGTTTGAATATTGTAGGTACAAGGTCATATTGACAAGATAAGATGGCAGTTGAGCTTGATTTATGTACACAATCAGCCATTAAAATATGCAGCCGAGATTTGAAAGTATGTCATATTCAACAGTCATTCAATTCCTAAGTTGTTAACAGATCTACTTGATTTTATTTTGTGTGCTAAAATATATTTCCTGGTGAAGCAGAGTTTGAAAGATAGTTTTATGTCTTTTTTACCATCAAGAAATGTAAATGAATTCTTCACTATGTTGAGCTAATGATGGAAAATGTACAATTAGAACTCCATATATTTTTATTATTATTCTAAAATATTATAAAATAATAATAAAATAATAATAATACTAGTAATAATAATAATAATAAAAGACTTGAGTAGAATAATTTTTCTTGTCTTTTGTTTCTTTCATTCATTGCTTTTTTCTTTATTTTCACCCTGTTATACAGAGGAATAATTTTGCATTAAAATATTTGAGACGACAGTTACATTTTTTTTCTTTCAATATTTTATTGAAAAGTTTTCAGCATGTGGTCCATTGCATTACTTTTATTCGTACAGTGTGCATTGCAATATGGATACTGCTTAGCTGCTATATTTAGATCCCTGGTATTTGGAAAGCTAGTCAGTGTTGATTGTTTGGGACTTTGGGAGAGACCCTTATTGCTTTGGAACCTGGAATATTGCTTCTTTGAGGTTCAGATCTATTATCTGAAGCTTTATGTTATGCGAGGTAAGATATTTATCACTGTTATCAGTTCTTAAACCCATATGTTTGGTTGCCTTTCAAAGTTTGTCTGGATGTGATTTTTTTTATGTTAAATTGGAGTGTGATATTTAACCAAGTTTTATCATTAAATTTGTTTAGCCTTTCTGAAATTCCAACTTCTTCTGAGCCTTTGAACATCCAGATGCATGAGTTTCTTGACATCAAGCCCTACTCTGTATTACCTGGGAGTGTGATGTTTTGCAAACAAGGATCATATTGTAAATGTATCAGGTAACTCTTAATTTTACTCCTCACATGAGAAATTATCATCTGCATGACTACATGTAATATTGTGAGTTTCAGAATATTAAAATTGAAGATTTAAGTCCACTGAAACTGAAATGTGTGATAATCACTTCATGAAAAAGAAAGGTGTATGGACGAGGAAGAGACAAAATGTTGGAATCTGAAAGGTATTATGTTGGAGATTGGAAGCCAATCCTTTCCAGCTATGAAAGCTAAATTGCGTACTGTAGGAAGGAAGTGCCATTTATTGCATTAAATGGAGATCTATATGCTGTATTTGTTTTTATATTTACAAATTAATTAATGTTAGGAACATCTACATTTAGGTAATAAAAACCAGCTCCTATCCATATAGGCAACCTGCCTTGGAAAAGTCATAGTTTGGCTATAAGGAATTTGAGTTTTTGCCACTTTCAGTCCCTCGACTATTGTGTTAGTTACACTTTTGGTACTCGACTTTCAATTTTTTCATTTTATGTCCTTTGACTATTATGCGAGAGACACTTTCAGTCCTCGACTTCAAATTTTCCCACATTTAGTCCCCTGAGTATTATCAAATTGACACTTTTAGTCCATCCATTATGATTTTGTCACTACAAATGTAGGACTAAAAATGTCACTATTTTAATAGTTAAATAACCAAAATTGTCACTTTTATAAAAGTCGGAGGACCAAACGTGGAAATTTCAAAGACAGGCATCAAAAATGTCTTTCGCACAATAGTCGAAGGATTAAAAGTGGAATAAATCAAAACCGAGTACCAAAAATGTCAGTGACATAATAGTCGGAGGACTCAAAGTGGCAAAAACTCTAGGAACTTTTACAATGACCCAATGAGTGGTAAAATATTCGGTGTGTAGAACAATTGTTTGGCGTAGAAGTTAATTACTATGGGTTTCAATCGATCACAGAAAGTCAGAAACTGCTCGGGGAAAGAAAAATGACTACAAAAAGTAGTGACTGCTAAGTATTTTTTATGTTTGGTTTTAACTAAAAAAATACACAGGTAAATGAAATGCTTTGTATGATTAATTTTTATACTACGTAATATATATTTATATATATATAAATATAATATATATATATATATATATATATGTAAATATATATCTATATTAAGTTATATATAATGAAATATAAAAATTCCCCAAATTGGAGTAAAAAAATACTCTGTATAATATTTTTTTTCTTCTCCAAATAAGATTCACTCACTCCATAAAAGAAGTTTTAATCATTGTTAGTCATTTATTAGGACTAAATAAATTATATTTTGAGAATAAAACATAATTTTTATTATTCAAAAAACTTTGTATATGCTTTAATCCTGTTTTGATAAATTTTCTTTAAAATAAATTTGAACAAAATCTAGAATAAATTTTATTGTCCTTTATTCTGTCCTTTATTTTACCAAATTTTCTTTCCAATTCATTTCCCTCTACTTTTATGGGTACATTATTTGTGCTGTAAATGGACCCTTTTGTTTGTTAGGTTTGGTGTGGGGGGGTGTGGTGGGTGGGTGGTCAAGACCTGGGAATTTCCAGTTCAAAGCACATAAAATTTAGGATCAAGAAAGAAGGGCCCCTTTGTTATTTGGAGAGCCAACATAGAATTGCAAATCCACTATGGTGCTGCCCCCACATTATGGAGCCCATCCTTCTCAGATCTCCGCTCCTCTTTTCATAATAAGATTTTTTAAGGCTTAATTATTCATTCATTTCAGATTATTTTTTTTGTAAACACCCTCTGTTCCTCCATAAATACCTCAGTGTTGGTCTTGTTATTCTCAAAATCCTTCTTTCATTTCACTAACTTATATATATTATACGATATTAATAAAGCAATAATTGAGGATGAAGAAATTAGGAAAGCTACCACAAGCTGCAGTTCTGAAGCAGATGATTAAAAGGTGTTCCACTCAATTCAGGCAGAGACATGGGTATGATGAAGAGGGGCTTCCAGTGGACGTCCCAAAAGGCCATTTTGCGGTATACATTGGTGAAAACAGGAGCAGATACATAGTACCCATCTCATTCTTGTCCCATCCCCAGTTTCAACTCCTCCTCCAATGCGCGGAGGAAGAGTTCGGTTTCCACCACGAAATGGGTATTACCATTCCTTGTGATGAGATGTTTTTCCGTTCGCTGACATCAATGATCAGGTAGACAACGAACGAATTTCACCCACGAAGACTTTGTGCTCGGGGAGAAGACGGTTTAAGACGAAGCTCTGGTTGCGCTGCTGTGTTTGGCTTTGTCTTTTTTGAACGTCTTGATTCACCTGACTACATTAGTTTAGCTTTATCAGTTTCTTTTTTTCCTTTTAAAGTTTATTTTGGGGTCACTTACCTTTAATTAACCTAGCCTTATTCCTGACTGTTTGTGGCCGGGTTAATATGTAAAAAGTTTGATGTTATGTTTCCTCACGCTGGTGCATTTCATGCTAATTACTCCGCGTGAGAGAATTTGTTTATAGAAGGGCATAAGTGAACTCTGTCATTTCCTTAATTTTTGTGTTGAGGTACTCCCTCCGTCCCATATTTATCTTCGTAGTTCGGTTTACGATGCTTGACTGACGATAAAACAACTTGATCCCTGTCCACACTCAGATTATTTTTAGTAAATTAAATTTACATATTCAGAAACTACATCAAATCCGCTACAAAGGCTGATCAATAAAATTTAAGTTTGATAAAAATTTGATATATAAAGTAAAAGTTTAAGAGTAATTTGAGTTGACCGTGTGAATAGTAACTATGATAATAATTTTGGGACGGAGGGAGTAGTGTTTTTGAAAGTGTGTTCTAATCCAATAATGTCTATTTAAAAAGAAGAGTAATGTTTAATATAGTAATGTTAGCCACATAATCTGTATGGGTAATGGGTTACATACGTTAAAACTTAAAATTTCCTTTTAGGGAAGTCTATTTAATATAGTTAATTTGGTAAAAGTGAATTGATGTGAGGTCTGTATGCTTGGTTTTCTTTTCTTTTCTTTTCTTAAAGCACATTAGTAGATTGGTATTGTTTGGATGATGCAAAATTTAGTGCAACGTTAGAAGGAAATCACATTCAAGTTACATATATAATCAACGTTAGACGGGAACAATTATCGAGTGTCAAAAGCAGTTTCAGTTGTTTGAGTGTTGGATCGAAATGGACATGAGAAATGATGTCATGTTATGTTGATGAAACTTGTCTCAATAGATACATAATTGGTATTATTTTAATGGCGAGTAATGCATGGGAGGCGCCGATGTTGGATGAGTCTTAGATTCCCTCCCGATACAATTATTGCATTTTAGTTTGAGATAAGACTCAAGTTAGGCATTTACACCACGCAGATCTAAGATAGATTACTAATGTTTCAATTAGGGATGGACTCGGGTCCGGGCCAGGTCCGGGCTCGGCCTAGGCCCGGGCGGGCCGGCGGTTCAGAAATGGTGGACCTGGGACCGGCCCGGGTAACCACCGGGTCCGGTCCGGGTCGGGCCCATTATCAATTTTTTTTTGTTTTCCTCTTCCTAATTAACCCCCCTCTCACCCCCAACCCCCCAAACCACCCCAAATGGCCCAAAATACCCAGCCCAACCCGAAAATTTAAAAAAAATTGAAAAAAAAGGTTTTGGCCCGAACCGGGCCCGGGCCCGGCCGGATCGGGCCTTGTTTTGGGTGACCCGAGCCTGGACCGGAAAACCCACATGCCGGGCCTACTCGGACCGGTCATTGACCGGGCCACCGGGTCGGGCTGGGCCGGAACAGTACCGGTCCCGGGCCGGTTCCGGGTCGGGCCACCTGACCCGAGTCCATCCCTAGTTTCAATGGGAGCAAATAAAAACTAATCCAAGTTCCCTAAAAAACAACTAATCCAAGTTCAGATATTCACGGATAGGGATGGACCGGGCCTAGGTCAGGATCGGGTCCGGGTCAAGCCTTGGGCGGGACAGGGTTTGGGAGTTGGAGGCCCCATACCGGCCCTAGTAGGTTCCGCGACCGGTCGGGACCGGGATGGGTCGGGTCTTATATATATATATTTTCATTTTGTTTTTCTTATTTATTCCCACCCCCACCCCCAAATCACCCAGCCCAACCCGCCTACCACCCAATCCATGCGAAAAAAAAGCATTTTGGGCCCGGACCGGCCGAGCCGGTTCCAAGAGGGCTGCAGCTCGTAACCCCCAATCCCCCCGGTTAGGGCCCAAGGCCCAGTCCAGGTCCCGGTCAACCGGGCCGGGCCGGTACTGCACAGTGGCGATCCAGGCTGGGTACCGGGCCGGTCCGACCAGTCCTAGTCCATCCCTACTCACGGACGATTCTTCTTGGTAAATAAAAGGGGGAGGGGGTTAAAAAAGGAAAATTTTATGGTGCATCTAAATTATGGGATGTTTTGGTGCATTCAACCGTTGGCACCATTTTATTGGTAAGTCTGTCATAGTCACTTTTTTTATTAAAAAATGTTTTTATTGCAAGTAAGTCCTTCCTCAGCCCCGCTCAGTTTTATCATTTGTGTTATCGGAAAGAAAGAAAGAAGGCAGCGACTAGCGAGAGACGGTCAAGCTGCGTCGACGAAGACAGGCAGAGACGGACAAGCTGCGTCGGCGAAGGCAGAGAGAGACGGACAAGCTGTGTCGGCGAAGGCAGGGAGATACGGTCAACGTCGTCGAAGGAAGGGAGAGAGGGTCAAGCCACATCGGCGAAGGCAAGGAGAGACGAACCGTTCAAGCAGCGTCTAGGAGGCAGAGGCAGTCAGAAACGAACAGTTCAAGCTGCGTCTAGGAAGAGAAGGCAGCAAGGGAAGAATCGTTCAAGCGGCCTCTGGGATACAAAGAAACTAGGGATACCAGGGCCAGAGAAACTAAAGTCCCTCATCTTCATCTCTAATTTCATGGCTGCGACTCAATCCAAGGTAGGTGAATCATCTCTAATTTCTTCACTTTTCACCAATTATGATCGAACTATATGTTAAAGTTATCATCCCTAATTTTGATTTGCATTTTTATTGTGAATTAGTTAGTGTGAATTTGCATTTTTCGATGTGGCATGTAGTTTTCCATGTATTGATCTTTTGTGGTTAACAACTGCAAATATTTGCTCCCTGAACTTATATAAACTCTAATACACCATCCTAAACACCTTCCTGAATAAGAAGATGTTATTGGCCTGGTAAAATGACCTTTTGATAAGTCTGTAGCTCTAGTGATGAACTTACAAGAAGATTTGTTTTAGAATTTTCCACATATATTACTAATAAATAAATGTAGGACAGAAAAAGTGAACAGCCTATTAAATGACCAAGAGTAAAGAAACCTTTTACAAGGTCAATGTTGTGAAAAAATTAAGATGCCAGTCGGATGACAGATTTGGGCTAGTTGGCGATGGTTTGGGTTTAGAATGATATACAGTTACCGTATATAGTGTTACTTTCTCTGCGAAAATAATGGTGTCGGACCTCCCCTTCACTTAACCAAACAATGTCTCTGTTCCTAAAAGGCGTTGGACCTTATTTTCCTCCAAAGCCAGGGAATCCATTTCTAGAGGCTGGGAGGCAAGACTAAGGCTACGGTTGGGACTCAAACTTGGTGTTCATGTTTTTACCCCCTCCCTGGATCATTTTTTGGGTTCCAAACACCCCATAGGGTGAATGAGCAAAAAAATAGATATCAAAATTCATAGCATGTGTGAGAAATATAAGAAGAAAGGCATCACAGCAGATAGGTTCCCGAGCAGGGTTTTGAAGGCAAAAATAGTCAAAATGACTTTATGGTAGTTTCCCTACAGTGGAAAAACCACATGGATCAAATAACCACATGGATAAAAAAAATACATAAGCTCAAGCTTGATTCCATTGGCAGACATGATTCCCTTTCTAATGCAGGACTTAAACTTAGGCTTCAGTTTCTCAAGTTCTTCCTTCTCGAAGTCGAAGAGGGAACTCAACCCTAAAACTTCCTCCACACCATTTGTGTGAAGTCGGAGAGGACATAAATTCATTTCATATAACATCTTAAATAAATGTCAATTTAAGGAAATTAACATGAACTATATTCATATCATATTTACTTTAGCTTACTCATTTATTATTGGATGATTTCTATGTATTGGTGATCCAATGTTGCAATTAAAAGAGAACGGAGGTAGTATTATTTTTTAATAATGTCCATAGTTTTGAAATTTTGGACATTTGGTTCTGATTAGAGATTATAAGGCTGCAATGGGACCTGCATCTGTTTAGTTTCATTCTTTATGAATAGAAGTCATAAAATGGATTGTAATCTTCTGGAAAAGATCTTTTCAGATTGTACCATATTGGTTTTTATTAGTATTGTTTTTATGTAAGGTTTCCAATGCCTCCCTCCTCAGGTTAAGCATTTCATATGGTTGAGTTTGCTTAATAATTGTATAAACATGAAAAATATTGGTAACAGATCCACAGTTAAGTAATGTGGATAGCTTATGTATGAGGTACATTGAAAATTGAAGTGTTGAATAGTTAGTGTCAGTAGAGTGATAAGAAGTTTTGAAGTGTTTTTAACTGAAATGGTTTCACCTAGGGTGGGAATATTGGTCTCAGTTCAGTGGAGGCATTTTTCTGGGCTGTTACTTCATGAATACAGAGTAGCATCATTCATTAAGCATGATTGTATTATGTGGTGATTGTAACTTGCAAGCTTCATCTAAAACTATGGATGGTAACATCTCTCTCTCTCTCTGTGTGTGTGTGTGTGTGTGTTGATAGTATATCATCAACTTTTAGCCATGGAATTCGCATGGGCCATTACCATGTTATTAACTTTAAAGTATCATCTGATTGACTCTGCCCATTTGTGAAGTAACTAACCATGATCGTACCCTTTGATTACAAACAGGAGGAATTTTAAAATACATGCTCACCTATGGATTGCCACATGGGCTGCTCCTAAAGCTAGAGGGGTTTAACACTTTAATGTAATATCTCTGCATCCTACTTGCACAGTCCTTTAGTGGTTGGTGAAATTATTGTTTGAAATCATAATGGAGTCTCGCAAGCTGCCTTTGCTTCCCCGTTTGGTGCAGCTTCTCCTTCTCATGTTAGACATTTACTTCTCCGCATAGTTTCCAAGGGGTGACACAATAAATGATTTACGAATGAAGTTGACTCTGGGAATCTTTGATGGGTTGAAGAATCTGAAGACCATCATGAAAGTGTGCAGGAATCCGAGAGCCCATTTCTTGTCGTTCTCATATACATAAGGATTGTAATATGATGGTTTTTGTAGTAGTTCATTTGGGTTGCTCTTTAGATAGATCCTTCATTTTCACTAATGTTCATGATTTACCTTGTACTGTTAGGGGCTCTCTTGTTGATATGAAGTTAGTTTCCTATTTGTTATTCTAATACTATGCAATTCTTTTTAAGTTTGGTGGTGTATTATCTCTTTTATGTTGACGTTAATTTTGTAAGGTGACGCTGAATGTACTAAAATATTGAAAAGTTTTTTTTAACCGATGTGAAGTCTTTTTGTACCGGTGATAGTATGTTATTTAACCTACAAATGTTGTGGTAGTCTTTTATTTGAAA